AACATGTCCACCCACATCTCAATGCGACCCTTTTATAAATCCAGAGGATCAGTTATGATCAAAATTCTCATTCACTGCTCTTGACCAATCGACTAAAGTTCTACCTGTTCGATCCCTGGCTTGTCTGGGTTAAGAAGGGGCCTGGTCTCCACATGTTCAGGAACGAGCTTGCAGCCAACACGAGGAATTTCCTCCCAGTGATTCAACACGATCAGGGCTAAATGCTCCTCTGTCTGCTTCTTCAGACCTGAGGGATCATTCCAAATTTAAAACAGAAACTGACGTGGGAAAAGGCTAATTTAACTAAATTTTCAAACATTTCATCAGATAATATTTTGTGTAAAAAAAAAATCATAGAAGCACTTTAATTGGTTACAGTTTTAGAAAAAAGTGGAGACTACCATTTTCATCCTCTATTTCTGTTGGTCCAGTAAAAATTCGATTTGCCACTTTGACTTTGCCTCCTGGTCCATAATGAGGTCCATCAACCTTCCCTTCCTTGCAAAGCCTTGCTAGGATCTGGCTGGGTTTCATAGGGTCCCTCCAGATGTTGTATCCATGCCTAAAATCAACAGATATCTTAGATATATTTAGGCTGTAATTTGTACATCTTTAAATATAAAGGAGATGCAAAGAAGGATTCAAATTGAAATCAGTATTCCGGAATTGTTGAGCAACATTTCTAACCTCCTGTTACTGTTACCTGTGCTGCAGCACTAACCATAAGTTGTGCTTTGTTCGAATCTGAGCTTAGCGTAAATTATTCTCTTCTCTATCTTTAAATTTCTTGCTCGCACATTTTGTTTTTTGGTTGTTCTGACCCTCTGAGACCGCATTCCCAGCACAGCCGTCCAGACAGCCCAACATTTACTATGCCAATAAATACTAGACATCACATCTACATTATTTTTGCAGACAGTACAAAATTGCAAATCATATTTGACCTGGAAACTGATCTTTAAATCTCAAAGGTCAACGGCTAAACAATAACTAAATGGAAAAAGAAATCTATAACAACGTCAGGGGGAGTGACGGCTTAGGCTGGGAGTGGTGGCCTAGAGGCTAGGGGTGTCATGATGGGTGTCACAGAGAGTAAGCCCAAGATGCAGAACACACACGGAGGCACTGGTAAAAGTCCAAAGAGTTTATTAAAGGCACAAGCACATGAATCACAGTTCAGGCAGGGGACTGATTCGCTGGGGGCTGTGCGGGGAAAGGGAGATGGCTGGATTTGAGCTTCCAGCTCACTGCAGGGAAACAACAGGGGAAATCCACATGGGAACCTCTTAGGGATACTCCACAGGGGAAGTCGTCAGGTAGCATCCACGTAGAATTCTTGGGTTGGCTCACCAGGGCAGATTAGCAGGTTAGCTTTCCTAGAGCGTCAGGCTTGGGACTGGCTTCCTATGATGCAACTCTCCCAGAGCTGCAGGCCAGAGACAGGTTGCCAGAGAGACAGTTCTTCCAGAGCTTCACAAGAAAACAGGAGGTTAAGCTCATCCAGAGCTTTCACGAGGAGACAGGTGGCTAAGCTCATCCAGAGCTTTCACGAGGAGACAGGGGGTTAAGCTCATCCAGAGCTTTCACGAAGAGACAGGAGTCCAACTAAGATCAACACTGCGGCGTGGAATCAAGGTTTGAAGGCAGCTTAAATACTGTGGTCCTCCTGATTAGTAGATCAGCCACAGGTGTGTGGGAGGTTCAGCTCAGGAGGACCCACGGCGCACTCTGCTGGAGGCAGAGGGTAATCTCCAGAACCTGACAGTGACTCCAGCCCTAAGGGAAAAAACAAAGAAAGCAGAAGAGGATCCTCGGCGCCCTCTGGTGGGCAAGCCTGAGGATCCCAACAGAGCCCCCCCCTCAAGGGCGGATTCCAGACGCCCCCTGAAAAAAAAAAAGGTCCAAAAAACAAAAAAAAAACCAACCCACCCAGGGCGGGCGGAGGGGGCACTAGGGCGAGGAGGGCCAGAAACAACAAAAAAAAGATCCAACAAACAAAAAACAACCCACCCAGGGTGGGCGAAGGGGGAAACAGGCCAGGAGGGCAGAAAACAAAAACAGAGTCCAGAACAAAAAACGATCCACTTATGGTGGACGACAGCAAAAGAAAACCCAAAAACTTTCTTGGGCACAGTCTCTGGTGGCCGGCCGAGGGACCGGCAGCGGGACAGATTCTCAGGTGACCGGCCGAGGGACCGGCAGCTGGACAGATTCTCAGGTGACCGGCCGAGGGACCGGCTGCAGGACAGAGTCTCAGGTGGCCTGCCGTGGGGCCGGCTGCAGGACACAGTCTCAGGTGGCCTGCCGTGGGGCCGGCAGCAGGACACAGTCTCAGGTGGCCTGCCGTGGGGCCGGCTGCAGGGGCGTAGTTGCTGCTCAGGAGGTCGACCGTTGTGATGAAGGTGGAGCAGCGTCTTAGGGGGACCACCGCCAGGCCGGAGACAAGGTTGAGGTTCAGGAGGCCGGCCTAAAATCCGGCAACGGAGCAGAGTCTTAGGTGGCCGGCAGCGGGGTCGAAGGCGACGCTGACACTCTGGGGGTCTGCCGCGGGACCGGAGGCGAAGCTGATGCTCCGGGGGTCTGCCGCGGGACCGGAGGCGAAGCTGACGCTCAGGAGGTCTGCCGCGAGGCCGAAGGCGAAGCTGACGCTCTGGAGGTCTGCCGCGAGGCCGAAGGCGAAGCTGACGCTCTGGAGGTCTGCCGCGAGGCCGAAGGCGAAGCTGACGCTCTGGAGGATGACGCCCAAGCTTCAGCAGGTACCCCCACGGGGGTACCCCTTCCCCTCCTCGGCAGCTCAGGAACAGTCTCAGAAACAGCCGCCGACTGCGGCTCAGGAGGAGGCTCTGAGGAGACTGCCGACTGCGGCTCTGGAGGAGGCTCAGAGGAGACTGCCGACTGCGGCTCTGGAGGAGGCTCAGAGGAGACCGCCGAGTGCGGCTCTGGTGGAGGCTCTGGGGAGACCGTCGAGTGCGGCTCTGAAGGAGGCTCAGGGGAGACCATCGAGTGCTGCTCTGGAGGAAGCTCTGGGGAGACCATCGAGTGCGGCTCTGGAGGAGGCTCTGAAGAGGCCGCCGACTGCGGCTCTGGAGGAAGCTCTGAAGAGGCCGCCGACTGCGGTTCTGGAGCAGGGTCTGGAACCGAGGAGCCCGCCAATTGCGGCTCCGGGTCAGGAGCAGGAGAGCCCGCCGATTGCGGCTCTGGAGCAGGGGAGCCCGCCGATAGCGGCTCCCGAACAGGAACAGGGGAGCTCGCCGATTGCGGCTCCCGATTAGGGACAGGGGAGCCCGCAGATTGCGGCTCCCGATCAGGAACAGGGGAGCCCGCTGATTGTGGTTCCACCTCTGGAACTGGAGGGAACGTCCATGGAGGCTCAAGTTCAGTCTCTGAGGAGGCGTGAGGCATTTGTAGAGAGCTCTTGGCGATCTGGAGCGCCTGCAGAGAGGTCCTAGGAGGCGTAAAGCCACATACCTCGTATTCAGACACCTCCTTTAAGTTCTGCTCAGGGGTCTCTGGACGGCACAGGGCTAACTCAGGGGTCTCTGGACGGCACAGGGCTAACCCAGGGGTCTCTGGACGGCACAGGGCTAACCCAGGGGTCTCTGGACGGCTCAGAACCGGCTCAGGGGTTTCTAAAAGGCACAGAGCTGACTCGGGGGTCTCTAGACGGCACAGAGCTGGCTTAAGGCGACGCCTTTTCTTACACCGAGGAGTCTTTGGAGCTAAGTTAACAGGGTTACTGGCTGATTCTGGCAAGAGGCTAACTGTTTGAAAAATAAGGGTTCCAGAATGGATTACTGATTCAGAGGCTAGGTAATCAGGCATGGAAACAGGTTTTGAAACTAAGGTGATGGATTCGGGTGTCTGAACAGGCTGGCGGAGATCTCTAGCTGTTTGACGTGTAACTGGTGGGCCAATTTTGAGTTCCTTAACAGATGGAGCTAACTGACGATCGAGTAAATTAGAGCTGAGACTGACCTGGTGACGAAGGAAACTGGAATCCTGAGACTGAGGGTAGACGGCTCTGGGTCTAGTTGGTAGTTTGATGTCTAATCCAATGGCTAGCTCTATGAGGTCTTCAAGGTTAGTTGGTTTATCGTAAAATGATAGCTTATTTCTGACTGGGTCGTTTAGAGCTAGGAGATAAGTGGTTTGGAGCGCAGACTCGTTCCACCCGGAAAAAGCTGCTTTTTCAAGGAAATCAGAGGAAAACTCGGCAACGGACCTATTACCCTGTTTTACATTTAGAAGGTAGCGAGAAACGGAAAAACATGTGACCTGATTGAAAGTTCTTTCAAACTCCTGGGTGAAATTCTCAAAAGTGCAGCTTTCTCGGATATTTAGCGGAAATTTGGTCTCCGCCCATTCAAGGGCTTCACCAGACAAAAAAGAAATAATAAAGGCTATCCTATCTTTATCAAAACGAAAATTAGAAGCGTGAAAACTAAAAAATAACCGACACTGAAATAGAAATCCCTTGAGCTTACTTGGGTGGCCAGAAAATTTCTCTGGTAGAGGAGGACCGGGAGACGAAAACGATGGCATGAGTTCTGACCAGAAAGGAGGGTTATCATCTTGACTCGGAGGTGACGGACGGAATTTCCGAAGTGACGAAACCGGAACCGGAAGTTGAACAGGCGCCATCTTGCGATTCCCACGAAGCCCGTGGGAACTTGAAACGATTGTTTTCTTAGAGTCAAACGCGGATTTTAACTCACGGAGGGACAGAGTGTGATCAGGAGTAGGAGCGTCCTGTTTCTCAGAGCTACGACGGGGGTGATCTGCTGGGCTTTGAGTTTGGCCGCAGTGTTCTGTCATGATGGGTGTCACAGAGAGTAAGCCCAAGATGCAGAACACACACGGAGGCACTGGTAAAAGTCCAAAGAGTTTATTAAAGGCACAAGCACATGAATCACAGTTCAGGCAGGGGACTGATTTGCTGGGGGCTGTGCGGGGAAAGGGAGATGGCTGGATTTGAGCTTCCAGCTCACTGCAGGGAAACAACAGGGGAAATCCACATGGGAACCTCTTAGGGATACTTCACAGGGGAAGTCGTCAGGTAGCATCCACGTAGAATTCTTGGGTTGGCTCACCAGGGCAGATTAGCAGGTTAGCTTTCCTAGAGCGTCAGGCTTGGGACTGGCTTCCTATGATGCAACTCTCCCAGAGCTGCAGGCCAGAGACAGGTTGCCAGAGAGACAGTTCTTCCAGAGCTTCACAAGAAAACAGGAGGTTAAGCTCATCCAGAGCTTTCACGAGGAGACAGGTGGCTAAGCTCATCCAGAGCTTTCACGAGGAGACAGGGGGTGAAGCTCATCCAGAACTTTCACGAGGAGACAGGAGTCCAACTAAGATCAACACTGCGGCGTGGAATCAAGGTTTGAAGGCAGCTTAAATACTGTGGTCCTCCTGATTAGTAGATCAGCCACAGGTGTGTGGGAGGTTCAGCTCAGGAGGACCCACGGCGCACTCTGCTGGAGGCAGAGGGTAATCTCCAGAACCTGACAGTGACTCCAGCCCTAAGGGAAAAAACAAAGAAAGCAGAAGAGGATCCTCGGTGCCAGTGGCGGATCTAGGGGGCGGCTACTTGGGCTGCAGCCCCGGATGTTTCCCCTAGAGCCCCGGATCTCGCTTCTGAGCTGATCTGAGTAAAATGTGCAGTACTGGATCAGCAAAGGCAGGAAAGCAGCCCGTAGCATTCCCGTGCAGAAGAAGAAGTTCTCACCAATGGCTGTTGCTAAACAGACTGATGTTCCAGGGATGTGAAGCTCTGACTGACTTCCAGACATTGTTTTTATCCCGGTGGTGTATGAAATTCTGTTCCCCTTATTTCGGGAATCGCATTGAAGCCAGAGAGGCGGACATGGCGGATGGGACCATTTTCACGACGCGTCTGATCGATTTCTCGCTAAAATCAGCTATAATCATGTCACGGTTGCAACATCCAGTTTAATCAGCAGCTGTTGTTTACAAAATTGTAAAATAAATAAATAGACGAGGTGCTTTAAAGCTATTTTGTGTTATTTTAAACGCCAAGAAAATCGTCTTTTTCCAACTTCTGTCACTTAAACCTGACAGAAATAAAAGTCAGTCACCAAACACAGTTTTCCAACAAGTAGTGAGTATTTATCATTTTTCATTGCTGATATCAGAGAATGGAAACTGGCTGATAGCAGGACACAAATATTACTGAAAAGATGAGAGTGTAGACTTTCTGATTTATCCCGTTCTAATGTAAAATGTGACAGATTACTGGATTAAGGACATTCCTAGTATACTACATGATATCACACAAACAATTTTTGAGAATCTGGAAACAGATGCTTTTTACTTCCCAAAGATATGGGAGGAGGAGAGACTTGATGTTTCAGCTGCCTGAAATAATCCGTTCCTCCTCCATAACATGGGAAGAAATTAATTTACCTGCACATTTTTAACTGTGTTTATTTCTCTCTTCATCAACAACAAATCCTCTGGATTTAGTGACATTTGATCATTATTTGCCAAAGTTATGAGAGGGGAATCATATATTTTAGCCACCTGATATAATCCGTTCCCCCTTTGATGATCTTTATGAAATATATTTTCTGTTTAAATGTTTATCTAACAATTCATAAATATTCAAAAAAAAAAGTTCAAACCAAAACCCCTGGACATTGTTTTCCAAGTTTGAACATGTTTCTTAATTCCAAATGTCTGGAGCAATGCTACTGCAGACATTTGGAATTGAAAATTAAAATACATTAAATAAAGATAATCCAACAACTATTTTGGATTTAAAAATATAAAATAATAAATGTTTTAAACATGATATATGAAAAATAATGACAGTTTCACTGGATTTGTTTATTTTTTTTCCCATGTTATGGGGAAACGGATTCTATCAGGCGGCTAAAATATATGATTTCCCTCTGATAACTTTGGCAAATAATTATCTAATTTGACCAAATCCACAGAATTTGCTGTTGATGAAGAGAGGGATAAACACAGTTAAAGGCTTGCAGGTGAATTCATTTCTTCCCATGTAATCGAGGGGGAATTGTTATGTGTGATAGCATGTACAGGTGCTGGTCATAAAATTAGAATATCATGAAAAAGTAGATTGATTTCAGTAATTCCATTTAAAAAGTGAAACTTGTATATTATATTCATACATTACATACAAACTCATATATTTCAGATGTTTATTTTGTTTAATTTTGATGATTACAAATGACAACAAATGAAAATCTCAAATTCATCATATCAGAAAATTAGAATATTGTGAAAAGGTTCAAAATTGATGGCCCCTGGTGCCACACTCTAATCAGCTAATTAACTCAAACCACCTGCAAAAGCCTTTAAATGGTCTTTCAGTCTAGTTCTATAGGCTACACAATCATGGGGAAGACTGCTGACTTGACAGCCGCCAAAAGACGACCATCGACACCTTGCACAAGGAGGGCAAGACACAAAAGGTCATCGCTAAAGAGGCTGGCTGTTCACAGAGCTCAGTGTCCAAGCACATTAATAGAGAGGCGAAGGGAAGGAAAAGATGTGGTCGAAAAAAGTGTACAAGCAAGAGAGATAACCGCACCCTGGAGAGGATTGTGAAACAAAACCCATTCAAAAATGTGGGGGAGATTCGCAAAGAGTGGACTGCAGCTGGAGTGAGTGCTTCAAGAACCACCACACACAGACGTATGAAAGACATGGGTTTCTGCTGTCGCATTCCTTGTGTCAAGCCACTCTTGAACCACAGACAGCGTCAGAAGCGTCTTGCCTGGGCTAAAGAGAAACAGGACTGGACTGCTGGTGAGTGGTCCAAAGTCATGTTCTCTGATGAAAGTAAATTTTGCATTTCCTTTGGAAATCAAGGTCCCAGAGTCTGGAGGAAAAGAAGAGAGGCACTTCATCCACGTTGCTTGAAGTCCAGTGTAAAGTTTCCACAGTCAGTGATGGTTTGGGGTGCCATGTCATCTGCTGGTGTTGGTCCATTGTGTTTTCTGAGGTCCAGGGTCAACGCAGCCACATACCAGGAAGTTTTAGAGCACTTCATGCTTCCTGCAGCTGACCAACTTTTTGGAGATGCAGATTTCATTTTCCAACAGGACTTGGCACCTGCACACAGTGCCAAAGCTACCAGTACCTGGTTGAAGGACCATGGTATCCCTGTTCTTAATTGGCCAGCAAACTCTCCTGACCTTAACCCCATAGAAAATCTATGGGGTATTGTGAAGAAGAAGATGCAATACACCAGACCCAACAATTCAGAAGAGCTAAAAGCCACTATTAGAGCAACCTGGGCTATCATAACACCTGAGCAGTGCCACAGACTGATCGACTCCATGCCACGCCGCATTGCTGCAGTAATACAGGCCAAAGGAGGCCCAACTAAATACTGAGTGCTGTACATGCTCATACTTTTCATGTTCATACTTTTCAGTTGGCCAACATTTCTATAAATCCTTTGTTTTTATTGGTCTTCAGTAATATTCTAATTTTCTGATATGATGAATTTGAGATTTTCATTTGTTGTCATTTGTAATCATCAAAATTGAACAAAATAAACATCTGAAATATATGAGTTTGTATGTAATGTATGAATATAATATACAAGTTTCACTTTTTAAATGGAATTACTGAAATCAATCTACTTTTTCATGATATTCTAATTTTATGACCAGCACCTGTAGTATAGTAGAAATTTCTTTAATCCAGTAATCTGTCATATTTTACATTAGAACGGGATTTAGAAGAAAGTCTACTCTCTCATCTTCACCCTTGGGGCTAAGCCCCTGATCTCCTAGGATCCTAGATCCTCCCCTGCTCGGCGCCCTCTGGTGGGCAAGCCTGAGGATCCCAACAAGGGGATTGTGCTTGGAATCCAGGGGTTCTGAGTTGACTGCCACTCTGGGTCCCTGAGCAAGGGCCCTTTAACCCCAACATTGTTTCCTGGGCACCGCACAATGGTAGCCCACTGCTCCCCCACTGCTCCCCCAGGGGATGGGTTAAATGCAGAGAGTTAATTTTGTTGCTCTGTACTTGTGACAGTGTAATAACATTAAAAGCTGGCAAACTCGGTGACAAAGTTACTGTGGTAAGAGGGTTTTGATCCCCAAACTCCTGGCTGAAAGTAATGTGCGCTGAACAGTCAGACCAAGGGCATATCCCCTTGGTCAACTAGACAAGGCAGATCATCAGTCGGAGCATTGTGACTGGACCCCACACTTTCACAATACTCACACTGAGTAGCTTGACGCAATGCCACAGGTTGCTCTGTACTTGCTGTAGAACCGATTCTCAAGGTCGATCTTTGTCTCCCCAATGAGGTCGTCTGTGCCAACCAAATCCCAGTCATAAACAGAGACTGTTAACATTGACTCCATAGGGAAGGTGGCCTCAATGTCAAAGGATCTGAACATGGAGAAACAGATATTTCAACATGTGTCAGATTTAGATATGTTCAACAAACTACTGCATTAAAATAAGGGATCTAATTTCAAATTTCACCATATTTTACTTCAAACTTCTAAATTAAGTAACTATGATCAGCTATCATCAACTTTTTGCCAACTCACTTCCCAAACACAGGGTTTAGCTGCTTAGAGATGTAGTTCTCTTTGTCTTTGATTTCTGACTTGCCCAGCTTAATGACAATGTATGGATCGGCCTTTCCATTGATATCAGCAGGATGTAGGTCTGTTGCCTAACAAGAAGGTAAGAAGAATATTTAGATAAACTATAGATGATAGATAGACTATTACATTATTTCAAACATTAAGAATTTCACCTACCCTGACCACATAGATACGAACAAGAACGCGGATGGGATCATTATGAGGAATGCTCTGGAACATCCCCATATTGGGATCATAACCTACTTCTCTTGTGATCTCCTGAGAAAGGGGTACTTTGTACATACATAAGGAGCCCTGGATTGCAGAAAGATGGGGAAAAAAAATGGATGTAAGGGATATTTTCTGAGCCAGAGACATTTTCACTGAAAGAGGCGGTGAATTAAACATTTTCTCTATTTCTTGTTCTGCTTTAAGGCAGTCTACAATCCTTCAAGAATGTTGCTAAATCTCCTCTGTTGACTGGTTAGATTACTGCCTATTTAATGTCAAACCTTTAGTTTGGTCATAACAGCAATAGTACCTGAGTGGGCTATGCCGCAGTTGTGTTCCTACCTTGAATCTGCCCACAATCCTGTCATCATCCAGGGCGTGTTCGTCATCATCTCCGGCTTTTCCTCTGTATAAGTTGAAAGTGTGAAGCCAGTCCTCAAAGTTTCCATACTCACTTTCCAGCTCTTTGTTGTACACCTGCATAGGAGAGCCCATAAAGATTCAAATGTACATGAATATATAGCCGTTTGCTGGTTAGCTGCCTGTCGAACTCACCATCATTTCTTCCACTCTTGTTTTAGGAGGCCGTTTCTCAGAGGCGTCCGCAGCATGACTTTTCTTTTTGTCCTTGGAGATCTTCTTGTCCTTGAACCTTTCTTTCATCCTGGAGCCTTTTAGATGGAGCTCATCAGGTCTGATATCTGCCCAGAGGGGAATTAGAAAAGGCTATTATAGTTGGAGGGCAGATGGGGGAAATCTCTGACATCCTGAGGGTATGAGAAAGATTTCATTTTGTTAGTCATATACTGCTGGGGTTTCAAAATGTTCAATAAAACACATCTAACCGGTACATTTTGGGCAAAAAGTAGATAAGATTTGTGTGTTTAATTTGAGGGTTTTAAACAATGTAACAAAAAGTAATATGTAGAAATAAAAACACAACTTAATAAATATCTGCATGTGAATGATTATGAGTCATAATCGGGTTTAATCATCTCATTACTTCCATCCACCTTCCCCTCTGTGAGACAGTTATGAAGACAATTGAATGTAAAACATTTAGTGTTAGAGCCAGTTGGGATTTTTATTTTGAGAGCAGGTTTTACTAAAACCTGCTGAATACGGATCACATGCTCTGACAAAAAAACGGGTAAAAATTGTGAGAAAGAGGGCTGCTCTTCCATAGTGTTCCTGCAGGAGTGAACCTAAAACATTTTTAATTGAAAAACCAGAGAAACTTTCAAACTTAGTATTAAGATTAAAGTTATGAAACTTCTTTTTTTATTGTACTTGTTGCATTCTATCACTGCAGGTCTTCAAGGTATTAATGGAAACTGACCAGTCCCTGACCTAACTTACCAACTTTTACGAAAATAACAAACTCATACAATCAATCTGATATCTAATCCCATCCTATGAAAAACACCTTCCTTGAAGTGATTCATTAAATACTCTTTTCCCATGTGGTTAAATTTGTTTTATTCTTGTTTAATCTATTGATTGATTGATTAATTGATTTCACTGATCTCACAATGGGGAAGCTCAAATAGTCAAAAATGGGTATAAAACATAGAGAAACAGGTTACTGCATAGGGTATTAAATAGTAAATGCACATTATACTTTGCACAAGTTATTGCTGTTGTAGTGTTGCATTGCAGAAGTACAATCTCATTGTCTGTTCTTGCATCTTATCCTTCTTTATTGACTTAACAACAGCATTAGGAGTAATGCTCTTAACTAATAACAGCATTAGTAAATGTATTATCTTTTCAGTAACTAAAAAATGGAGTTTTGGTCTTTTGTTTTACTGTTTCGTATCGGATTTTACTCTAGTTATTTGTAACGTAGTTTATGTGTTTATCACCTATGTTATACATATTTGTTCACAGCTTTGGTCAGTTGTGATCTCATTTTTGTCTGTAATGCAGGCAAAGAGCAGGTGTTATCAGATAAAGGCATATGTGATCCAGCTTGGCTACGGTGGGCAGGTGCATATAATGCAAACAAAACATAGAGACAAACAACAAGAGGGACTCAAGGCCATGCACTTCATTAATGCAAGGCATGGCTTCTGAATGCACTAATGAATTTGCACACATGCACATATCAGTCGATAACAAAAGAAAAAAACAAAACAAATGTGAGCTGGTCAATTTATTGGTCTGTCTCTAATCAATGCCTGGTAAAAGTTTTATTCCATTAATATTTTCATGTCATGTAACAGAACAACCAAAAAGTGCAATAAATCAAGATTTTATATGAAAGAAAGAAACAAGAAGTGTGACAAAAATGCATATGAAATCCCCTTAAGATTAGAGTCCACCTATTCTTTGGGTAATATAGTTGCAATGTAAATACAGGAGATTTGTGTGTCACTGAGAGGTTTGTTTGTGAATATTATTGGACAAACACCATCATGAAGAACAAGGAACGCAGGCAGGTCAGGTATAAGGTACTTTGACAGTTTATAGTAGGATTAGTCCATAAATCAATAATCAAAGCAATGCAATCTCATAAATTATCGTTTATTCCATAAATCAATAGCACAACTATAAAACCTACCAAAAGTGCACTTGAATAATGAGAAAGGAGAGCATTGGTCAGAGAAACAGAAAACAGGCTCATGGTTATGCCAGAGGAGGTACAGAGATCCACAGCTGGGGTAGGAAAATGTAAACACAATTATGCCCCATAAATCGAGCACTTATGAAATGTTGTTGAGATGTTTTTTGGCAGACACAATTCATGCTATGTGACACGGACAGTGCACAACATCACGATCACACCAGCTCCATAGTGAAACATAACGGTAGTAACATCATGCAAAGTGATGCTCTTTATCCAGGGAGGCTGGTCAGCATTTATGTGGACATGGATGGAGTAAACTAAAGGGCAATCATGGAGAAAATGCTGTTAGAGGTTGCAAAAAATGTTACACTGGGGTCAAGGTTCACCATCCAGTGGGACTATACATATAAGAGGAGGATATAAAGATATAACCTTCATAACAATGGAGCTCTCTAGAGAAATAAAGATTAAAATGTTAAACTGGGGGCTGGGAAATAAATTAATATCTATATATACAGTGCAAAAGACACCTGATCAGTGTGTTTAATAAGATTCAGCAATTTCACTGAATTCTAATCCAGAGCTGGAGGATATAAGTAAAGAAAAGGATTTCACCTCTCTACCTGTTAGGGTAAAGAAAAAAGAGCTGTTAGTAGGGCTGACTTTTATTGTAAAGTTACGTTTAAATAAAGTTAGGGTTACAGCTTTTTCCCCTTAACCTTATTTCTACAACATAAAAAAAAAAAAAAATTTCAGCCATATGTTATTCGATACAGTCAATTTTTATATCTAAATATAAGTAGGAATCCATTGGAAGATTTGAAATGTCCCAGTTAAAATAAAATATGCAGAGGTTTTACATCTGTAATGTGGCAAAATCTGTGATATGAGGGGGTATGAATAGTTTTCCCAAACATCAGCAATCAGTGATAGATAAATAAAATCCATTTAACTGTTATAAATAAAATAAAAAACAGAAAATGTGCAAGTTATATACCTGCTCCCTGAGCTGCTATCTCAAGGTCTTCTCTGTCCTCTGCTTCTGTCTGAGCTGCTTCCTGGGATCTTAGGTTCTAATAGAGAAAAGACAGAACAAGATTAACTTAAGCCTAAAAAAAAGAGTGAACAGTGGAAAAGAGCGGAATATACAACCTCCTTCAGCGTCTCAATGGAAGCAAAATATTTGGACCACCAGTCCAGCACTCTTTCATCTGTCTCTTCCTCCTCCTCCAATCCTCCCTTCTTCTTCTTTTTCTTCTTCCTTTTTTCTTTATCGCTCTCTTCTTCACTCTTAAAAAAGTAACAGAAAATAAGCTCTTTTTACACTTTAGGTGGATTTTAGTCAATGTTCTGTACTGGTTTATGACATTGAGCTCATTAGCCGCTAAATGGAGTTACTCACCATGTCAACTTTTACAACAGCATCAGACATCTGGGCATTACATAAAACAGCACAAGGGTTAATACACAATGGGTGGTGAAGGAATGAGCAGCACAAATGCAACAACAGGTACAAAGCAGAGTACAAAATGCGAGGGAAATACTTCTGGGATCTAGAGAAGCATATAAACACAACATAAATATCAATACAGAAACTTGTCAGAAAAAGGAATGAAATGCTTACAGCATCCAACTTGACAACTGTGTCCATCTTTCGGATAGGAGGCTCTGCTTCTAGGTTGAGGGCGATGTCACCTGCGGGGCGAGACAGGGTGCGGGAAGAAAGGCTGGGTGAGGAGCGAGCGTGGGAGCAGCCATTGGTTAGAACCATGTAGCCATTCATTAGCTTAGCTGGAAGGAAGCCGATGATGAAAGACAGCAGCAGCAGTGGGCAGTAGGAAAGGACAACACAGGAGGGAGCAAGAGGAGCAAGATAAGAAAAGAAAAGCAGAATATCCGCATGAGGAATGTTAAGGAAAGAGTAAGCAGAAAATGTCAATACAAAATAAAATGTATCCTTTCAATCAATCAAATAAGTGATTACTGCATGTTTTGACTCTTCACAACTACTAATCCGTCAGCCTCTGAGTACCTGCAGAGGCCCAATTGCTGCAGCTTTTATCTGGAGGACTGTAGATAAAGCGTCTCAGGGTGGAAACAGCATGGGACCCCACTAGGATGTAGCGTCCAAATGCTCTGCAGTCCACAACCCGAATATTAAGAGGAGGATGGAGCAGCTCGTTTTCTGGCAAGTCCTTGGGTAAAAAAAGATGTTTATCCATGTGAATGAATAAACATGACTAAATACTATTAAAAGGAACAAATGTTAGTATTTAAAACAGTACAACCAAAAAGAGACAGGGCAAAACTAACAATGTAAGAAAAATATTTCTAGAAACACACACTCTAATACACTAAAAGGGATACAACTAGGGCTGCAACTAACAATTATTTGGCAAAAACGATTATTCTGTTTATAATTTTTTTCGATAAATCGATTAATAATCAGATTGCCAACGGTTCCCTAAAGAAGATTTTTTACAAAATTGAAGCAGGTGAAACTCGAAATTTTCCACTTGATGAGTTCTTGATAGAGAATCTTAAACGCAAAATTTATATATATATATATATATATATATATATATATATATTTTTTTTTTTTTTTTTTTTTTTTACAATTTTGATATAATTACTGCACTAAGTGGGTTAGAGGCATAATTTATAATCTCTATACTCCAGTTAATGATTGATAAATTACTAAATTAGGTATTAATTATTTCAATAATAAAAAAATCACGATTCATCTGAATATTTTTTTTCAGCCCTAGATACAAGTAAAAAGCAGAAGAAACAGAAGAAGAAAAAAGCAGGTATAAAAATATTGTGTATGATGTTTTGCTCCACAAACAGACCAAAAATATTTAGTTTACAACCACTAAAAGGTTTCTAAGCTCTGCGTTTTTAAATGAGAAGGTGAGCAGTCCTGTCAAATAATTTGTGACTACCTCCATATTTCGGTGTAGGGTGTGGAACATCTACTGTAAAAGCATCCGGTTTGTTGACCTTTTTTGTTCTAGATGAAACATGAAAGCGACAAAAAAAAAAACAAAAAAAAAACAACAGATAACAGGAGGATAAACCATAAGGAGACCAAAAAAGGTTGTGTTGAAAAAAGCTTATTAGGATCACTGAATTAATTTAGGCTTACTTGTAAAAGTGCTGCCAAGAATAACCCCAGTCCCTCTTGAAATGTCTAAAGCAACTAAACTCTTAATCAGGGTTATCTTTCTTTAGCTTTTTAGAAGAATGATATTCAGATAAATTATTCATTTTAGTGATTTTAATTATATTGTTAAATGTCACCAGATATTAGCAGTAAAACAACAGAAAGGAACTTAGATAAATAGGGAGCATCACATGTCAATTTAGATTTAGCAGGATATCCTAAATGTTGCATATTTTTTAGAAAAGAAACCAGTTTACCACTTCAAACCATTTGACCAAGGTGCTGAAGTTAGGATTCTTCTTGTAGTTTTGAATGAGGGCCGACTGAACTCCTCGACCTGCACACTCAATATCAACCCTGGGTCGATCAACTTGGGCCAAGTTGATTCTTTTCAGGTCCCTTAATCCCCAGAATAGCACCTGCGTCAGGAAGAAAACTGGATGAGATGGGGGTGAACTAAAAACAAAATTATAGCAGCAGAAAAAATAATCACCTCTATGCGATAGCGGCTCAGGACTGGACGTATTCCCAGTGGCACAGGAAGGATGGGTCCACGCTCTGAGTCTGTTGGACCTTCAAGTGGAGGAAGGTCAGCTCTGCCTCCTTGACCAATCTAATGTGGGTTGAAAGGTCAGAGTTAAAATGCAATATCACCTTAATATATATATATATATATATGTATATATTTTTTCCTTTCTTTTCTTTTGTTGATATTTTTCACTTCATTTGAGTAAGCTGTTTTTTAATAACTGGAGAGTTTCCCAAATGTTTTTTCTGTCTACTCCATTTTAATGTACTTTATTTATATATTTTTTTCTTTATTTACCTTTTTTTTTTATCCAGGTAAACTGAAAGGTGTGGAAATGTCTCCAGAAACCTAGCAAAGGTCTGGTTGACTCCAATTTAAGTCTGTTTTATGGTTGCCATTACCCGAAAGACTTACAACTGACACGGGCACCTCATTTACCTTTTTTTGTTTTTTATTTTTTACTCTGGTGTGTAAGTGTACGCTTTTATTTGCCTATGTGCTCTTTCTCTGAAACCTGAATTTCCAAAGAAATGTTCTATTCTGTTCTATTCTATTTTTCCAGTTTTTTTCCCTCCAGGATTAATTGATAATGTTTTGTAAAACTTGGACAATAACATATTTGTCTGAATGTTCTTTAGAAAGTTGAAGGGAAACCACCTTTTAAGCCATCAACTAAGTCCTTGTATAAATATTTGACCACTCCTCTCTTGATAAAATTGGTAGAGCTAGAAATTGGTTTTGTTGCATGAGCCTTACTTTTAAGATGATACTGATACTTTGAGTCAATTTACACAGAGATAGACTAAACAATAAAAATAAAAAGCTTCTCTGCCAAATTTCCCACTTCCAAGCTTGAATGAAAAGGTGCAGTTCCCATTGTAAAAGACTGATGCTCCTTGTGGAAATGTTAAATAGCGAAACATGACGAACTTAAGCCATGTGGAACCTATGATTAACAATACTTTTGCAGGATTCCAAAGCATTTTGTAAATTTTTACTGAAAAATACCTTAAAAAGTAGCTTTTTATTTGTTCCTTTACAGATAAAACATTGTTTAATAAGGAGACTGACACCTCAGTAGGTCAATGCTGATGCATCTATAAGCCTTCATCCTGATTCCCTGAATTTACTTTGGGTCAGAGTCTCTTTGTGGATGTCACGTCAAGCGGGTCCATTTTAAATGGGTCAGATCTAGTACGGGTCGTACCATCAAGATGGATTTGGTGGATATTTAGAGTTAAGCATATGATGGCAACTCTAAGTAAGGTGAGAAAAAGTAAAAAAAGAAAAAGAAAATCCTTGTCATGTACAAGCGCGAGCTATGAAAACGAATAGAAGAGTTTTCCAGTTTTATGTTTTGGCCAGGTGGCAGTGTCATTTGAAAACTACATCATGCATCTTTAAATAAACAGTTGAAAAGTGGACAAAGCCAAGTAATGAACTCAAACACCCATTAAAACTGGCAAACATAACCCTATTAGAATTTCATTCACTGTGCTGAAAAATATAGGTCAATGATAGAAATCAGGCACATTTAAAAATTCTGTGGTATTTACATATTAAGTGTTAAATATTGAGTCAGAATAGCACCAGGAATTTTTTTCTAGGAGATAATTAGACAACTATCAATGTGGGTGCATGTCTGCGCTTAAGTCTGTATGTATAATTTAGACCCTGTGTTGAACAGTTTAGATGAAAAATCAAAAGCCCTGTAGTATGACATTCAGTAAATAATGAAGGAAGGTAAAGGTTTAACCAGAGGTGTATCCTAACTTTAAATTAGTCAGCAGGAAGAAGTGAAAGAGAAAGAGGAAAAAACTATACTGACAAAGACACTATTAGGACAGGATGAGAAAGTGAAAAAGGACCTTTATTTGAGGAACATCAAAGTCATGGACAGCGATTAGAGCTCGCCTGATCTCCTCTGCATCAAAAGGTATCTGTAAAAAGCAGGAGTCAATAGACAGGGAAGCGTGTGGCTATAAAGTGAAAATAAAGGGAGATTAACCATAATGAAAAGGATAGAAGGAAGGTGAAGGATTTAATTTACTAGAAAATTATACTGATACCTTATTTCTGAAGTTCAAACTCTGTAACACCTTAAAACAGCATTAGGGAAGTCAAATATGTCGCCTCTGTTACCTGTAGTAGCTCAAAAGCAGCCAGCAGCTCTCCTGCAGTGTTGTTCCCTCTGTATATCTGGTAATACTCCAGCTGTGGGGGGAACCTTGGGGGCCCGTAGGGCTCATCACACATCTTAATGGTGGGCTTTGCAAACGTCCGACCTATGAACTCTGCCTTACCCTGGGCACCACAGTGTGGGAGATAACAATGAAGCAAAAAAAATGAAGGGATAAGGGGAGTGGGTTAGATGCATGCCTGGGAGGTGCAATTACCAATAACAGCCACTTGGTGTCATTATTAGACAAACTGGTGGAAAGTTAGAATGAGTTTTTCTATCATATAAATACGTGATCATGATTTAATATTTAGTGTAAAGGAACATGCTAATTAGCTTTAATAACTTTTTAAAACTGTCTTGCTTATGTTAAAACTGAAAGAATTTAAAATTATTGCTACTGCAGAGCTTAATATACTAAATTCAAGTCTTCAAACTTTGCAATGATCCCATACTCTAATCAAAAAAGTGAGACCATAAAGAATAAAAACAAAAAGGGAGGACAAACAGAGGGGGCATAGGGATGGAAAAGCACAATGCTTTTAGTTTAATGACAAGATTCAGTTTTTTTTTTATTATTTTGCACTTTCTTAAAAAGGTTACATCAAAGGAGGATCCTACCACAGTGTCTTGGTCATAGAATTCAACCACAATGATTGGAGGGTCGTCTCTCAGCTCAGTAGCCTCTCCGAACAGCTCCACATCATCAAACACTAGCAGCTGGTCCCACGTGGGGCAGAGGGTCTCATTTAAAACCTGTGGCACACACACACATAAATGGTTTGAACATAAATCAGTATAAAAACACAAACTCAGACACATACAAGCAGATTGCTGTTACCTCAGTAACCTGGCTTTGTGCAGAGAAGAAAACTCTAGCGAAGGGATCTGAAAGCCCACTGCTGTCAGCAGCAAACAGACTGCGGGCTTGGTACATGTGAGCTCTCAGCTGGAAGACCTGCTTCACTGGTAAAAATGAATGAAAATATATAGTGCTTTTACTTTTTATTCTAGAAAATTAGGCATTAATTAATGATCCTTTCTTTGACTGTTACTTCCTAAACTGTTGCACTGCTTACTGTTGTAGACGAGAGTAACTGGAGGCACAGACTGGCCTGTTTTGGTTGCTTTAATCTCTTCGAAACCATTTGGGAGACCATTTAGGAATTCCTTCCTGTTCTTGTTAAGGCCAAGCCATAAATATAACTCCAGTTTAGCCTGAACTGTCCAGCCAGCATGACCAAAACCTTTCTTCCCAGGCAGCTGTGGACAGAGGTTACAACAAAAGATTAAAACCAAACAGACTCCTACAAGAACACCACTGCTGTCGAGGACCAAAGGCAGGTCTGTATTTGTGCTTCAACTCTGCTCTATCATCAAATAAATTGCTTATTGTTATTGAGAGAACACCTTTAAATTGAAAGGCTTTCAGGAGGCGACTCCCCCTTCAAGAAGTTTGCAAACTATACTGAAGTCAATGCTGAGATTTGATTTATGGCAACTAACGGCAGACAATTGAGTTCCAGTTTGCTTCGGAATAGTCAACTAAAAATCAGCAGGAGTGAGTCTGTATATTTGTTTTCGTTAATCAAAACTTATCCACAGAAAATAGACTCCAGATTTTTTGCTTTTAACAATCACATATATGTTATGTAATCATTGTGCTCTGGTAAAATATGAGTTAAAATTGATAATTAAAAAGAAATAAATAAAATATTTATAGCCAAGAGGATTTTATATAAACTCTTGACTTGTGCTATATGGACAAAAAGGTATGAAGGCATTGAGTTACCTTGAGGAAGACGGCTTTGACTTTCCCACAGTCTTTCCCAGTCTCTTCATCCACCACGGAGTACAGAATATCTTTGGAAGGAATCCGGGCATAAGCGATGCGCTTGTGGTTACTCATCATCCAGATGAAAACATCTGGGATGCTGTGCTGAGGCTGGAAATAATGTAAACAAAGCTGGCTTCAAATTGTTCTTTCCCTACTCCTAAACTATAGGAATGAGAACTCAGATTAGGATTACTCATAATTTGAATTTCTACCTCATCAGCAAGGAAACGGAGCCTCTGCAGGAAGTTCTGCGCCAGCTTAAGTTTTTCTTTGACCGTGTTTTTCTTCACCTGTGTGCGAATCTGCCTGGCCTGCTGCCCCATGCTGTCCTGCAGAACGAAATACAAAGTAATGCGGATGGTAGCTAAAGAGCTCTTTCTAAAATAATTATAAGTGTATTTTTGTAATACTTGAGTACTCATTGAAATTCCAATGTGATTCATTGAATGAATGCAAATATCCTAGAAATAATAATTATTATGGAAATAATGTTCTACTCCATAGTCATATTCTATTTACTCGTTACAACAGCAAGATTAAAGGCTACCACTATATTAATTAACTGAAGCTTGCTTTTTGTGCTTGTGAGGAATAAATTATACCATCTCTCTCATGCATGACTTGAGCCGTTCTCGATCAAGCTTCGTTCTGCCTGACAGGTTTACATCTTTGTTGGCAAGTGTCAAATACCGACTGCAAAAAAAAAAAAAAAAAAAAGGAAACACAAGGGGAAAATTAACATCCTTTATTCATTAACACACTTGTGTCAGTGACATGCTGATCCCCCCATTAAAGCTTTGTACTATACTAAGTGAATAAAAGAAAAACATATATAATGACATCATTAAGGAAAAAAAAAAAACACAAAACTGCTGCCTGCTTCAGCATGAAACCTTTAATGAATGTGTTTGTCTGCTGAACAAAGATGCTCCAGAGGCAGCTAACTGCCTTTTTATGGGAAGATATTCTTTAAGACATCAAAACCAAACAGGCACTTTTGCTGCAGCATGAAAAATAAATGTTGGTGTTGCTGTGATCCCTGTTGTGCGATACGATATTCTATAAGGTCTGACTACTGTTAATTCTTGTAGTTCTTATTTGAAAAGTAATAGATTTTTGTTACATAGCTGAGTACCTGCAGCCAATACTGAGCTCCTCCAAAACTCCCCTGAGTCTTCGCTCCGGAAAGGCCTTCTCTGTCTTAATAATCTCCTGAACATCATTTAAGCCCTCTTCCTGGTGGAGCACACACAGTAACAGAGTCAAACACATAAAACTGCAACGTGCATCTTATATCTGTTCCAGGAATTATATATACCATATGTAAATGACATGCAGTGTTAAAGTAAACAGACAAATATTAGCAGAAATCCAAATAGGGTCCAAATCCAAATTATATACATAGGGTCTAATACACCCCCCAAAAAAATATTTTGGATAAATGTGCTTCAGCAGGTTGCCACTTAATTACCAGTATATATCTAGCTATTAAATAGGTCCTAACATTATTTCTGGTTGCATCTTTGACTCTCTGGATAACAGGGCAGTTTATGTTGATTTTCAACAAGTTGGGTGTAAATTAGTTTTCCCTTTTCAAAAGCCAGTTTTGGAAGTTTTTAACAATCTATCTGTTGATCTGAGTTGAGGTAGAAGAATTGGGGATTAGTGCTCCTTCATTTTTATCTGTATTATTATATTCGTTGTGTTCAATGCACCCCTACAAATACCCTTTCAAATGTGTAACATAGCAAAATTACAAAATAATTGTATTATCTGGCATTAAAAGCTCACTTTAAAAGGTATTTAGCTGAATACTGGGGGAAAAATAAGAGCCTCAAGGAGTTCAATTTCAAACATGGTCTATATTCTAGTTACCCCCCACTCCTGTTTATGTTAACTAGTCTCATGATGAGCATAAATGTTGGGGGTTTCTGGGTAGTTTTTGAAAATTTCTGAATAGCCTCTCATCTTACAACTAAGTTTTATAACAGATCAATGATCCAAAAGAACTGTGAAAAGCTTAAATTGAGTTCATTAAATGGACTTCCAAAGCCCTGACCTCCCACCTTTGGTATTGTCCTTAAATGGAAGTCAAGAAGTCAGAATATGCAATTAATTCTGCTGAGAATGGTCTAAAAATAAGCTAGAATCATTTTGACTACAAACTTGCTTTACAAATTGCTGAAGGGCATTTGCTCAAACATTATTAGAAGTGCACATATGCTGTACATACAATTTTATATATTCCTCTGTGTGGATTATTACAGCAAATCCACAATAGATTCTGTGTTTTTCTCCAACGAAAGAGATTGAAATGGTACATAAATAATAAACAATGTTTGTGGAGATGAACTCCAAGTGTAAATAAGCTGCATAGAAAGATACTCACCAACTTGTCTGCAATCTTATCCATCATATTTGAATTATAAAGTCGCCTCCTCTGATCCTGCCACCAGCTCTTGATGTAGACACAAGGCTTTTTCTCAAAATAGGGCAGATGGAAGTAATTTCTGCAGTTTGGAAATAATTAATACCAGTAACCTTTGACTTTAGTTTAAAGTTTTACATAATATTGGATTTATATAATTGGTGAACACAGACCTGTCTGTGATAAAGGGCTTCATGGGAGGCGTTGAGGAGACTGAGGTCAGTTCCCCATCATCGTCATCCTCATCTTCACTGGAGTTCTGGATCAGTTCATTTTCCTCCTCTCCATTCTCGCCTTCTTTCTTTTTCTTCTTCACAGAGGAAGACTTGCTCACTCCATCTATCTGGTTGCCATAATTCCCTGTTGGCCACAGAGAGAGTAGCAGCTGACTGTCCTGTGGAAACTTTTTAGTGAATTTCAGTTTTCACAAGATTAAAGTAGTTGTCAAGTACCTATGGTAATTTCAAAGCTTATTGGTTTGTCACCAATCTTTCTGTCGATCATAGTAGCCTCCAGAAATGAACCAAACAGGAAGAACTCTTCCATTTTTCCTGTTGCACTCTTATGGAAAAAAATGACAGAAAGTATTTTTTTTGGTGAAAAAACAACAACAAAACAAAAAACAATCAATTACTTTATAGACTCAAAAAGATGACCATTGTTACTCTATTGCCAAAGAAGTCTTTTTACCTCTGAGATGTTGGAAATAGGTTCAACTTGAACCTCAGTCGAGCTGATGATTTCAGGTGATGTGGTGTCCAGGATTTCCACAGCTACAGAGATAAGGAGGCGAGCTCTGAAGGATACACCTTCGCCAAGCCCATCATTTAGGTCCTGGTGCTCGTCCATCAGTGTGTACTGGCGGGTGGAACCGTACATGTTGACCCAGGCTGGACCAAGGGTGGGCAAAAAACCTGAAGGATTTTACATACAGAAAATTCATCTTAGTTAACATTGTAGTTTTAATTAATTTTAAAACTAACTAAATTTAGAACATTTAAATAAAGAAATATTTTACTCAAACTTTCATCAAACATATTCTTTTATCCATGAGGGATTCCTGCAGCGGCTTGTTTGATTAAAATTAACTGTTATGAAATAATTCTGATCATTTTTTTTTTGTTTATTTGAAATATAACTAGAATTTCAGATATTTCTCATCAAATGTATTATAGTTATACATACCAGAAATAATATATACATTTTTTAAGTAATTCATATTCACTCTTGCTGAGTTTCATGTTGGAGGTAATATTATGTGAAAATATAATAATATACTCAGGTACAGGAGCTGGCATTGTTTTCTAGGGGGATCGGAGGGGGTCTGGTTTGGGGACCAGAGGATCACATTCCTGCTTTTTGCAGATGAGACGGCTGTGTTTGCTCCCTTCTGCCAAGACCTACAGCAGGTTCTATGTGGTTTGCAGTTGAGTGTGAAGAATCAGAATGAGAATCAGCCTCTTATACTCCTATGTGTGGTTCTCAACCAGGTAAAGGTGAATTTTCCCCTTCAGGTTGGAGGAGAGTTCAAGAGGATGAGTTTTAAGTATCTCAGGTTCCTCTTCAAGATTGAGGAAGAATGGATCAGAGCGACTGCTGCTATAATGTGGACGCTGCACCAGTCTGTTTTGGTGAATAGAAAGCTGAGCGAAAATCCAAAGCTCCCGATACCTACCCTCACATGTGGTCATGAACTTTGGAGCATGACAAAAAGAATGAGATCCTGGGTACAAGCTTCCGAAATTAGTTTTCTCTGCAAGGTGGCTGGGCTCTCTCTTAGATATAGACAGGGTGAGGAGGTAATTTGGGGAGAGGCACAGAGTATAGCTGCTTCTCCTCCACATTGACAAGAGTCAGCTGAGGTGGCTCGGACATATTTTTTCAGATGCCCGCTGGATCGCAAAAGGAGGAGGCCCAGGAAATGATGAAGGGAGTATGTCTCTCTGGCCTGGAGAAGATGTCTGGGTGGAAGAAAATCTGTGAGTCACTGCTGAAACTGCTGCCCCATGTAACTTGGTCCAAGACAAGAGGAAGACAACAACGACGGGCCATGATTGGTATTACTTTTTCAGTTTACAAGGAACCTTTGGATGTAGCTTGTGGAGGTAGAGGGCTAAGCATTTCAAAATGCTAAAATATTTTCAACTTGACGATTTTCTCATCAGTATAAATTCTTCTTCATCTTTATCATATATCATGTTTTCTACACCATTTACAGCCATCCGTGTCAGAAGAATGAGGAATATTTATGGGTTATAAACGGTTTGTGATTTGGACCATAACTAAAAACAACCACAATGATCCCAGGAGATCATCAACAGATGTGAAATAAATGTTGCCCCGCTGCCGCATCTGTGTGGTTAATGCTCCTTTGGGATGCATCTCTATAGTTTTAAATATCAAATGGCTGCAATTCCTCTCAGTGATTATAGAACAGATCCACAGTGTAAACCCTGTGCTATGATCACACGTTTATAAATAGATAATTTAGATTTAATCTTGACTGCTGCTGCCTCAATTCTTGCCTTCACTGTTCTCCTGTTGCTTCAAAAATGAGAAAACATGAAAGTCTAAGTGACCTTAAATATTTTAACAGTTAGACCATAAGTTCTGCTTTTGCAACAAGATCCTGTCTTCCACACAAAAGGGTGAATAATTACTCAGCCCTGTTTAGGACTCATTATGCAAATCCTTACAAAATGCCAAAGAGAGTTTAAAGAAAAAAAGTTTAAGGGCTAATAGACAACTTGTAGCATGTCATAAGATGCATATAATTGCTTTAGATTTTATCTAATTATATGAGGGTAAAGAAAGCTGAATAGAAACTAAAAAACACTTTTAGAATTTTAGGCGATATGAATGAATAGAAAACCATACATCTAATTCGCTCTCCCTTCTTTTCTGTAAGGTCCTGCACATCAATGTGGATGCCTTTAAAATCAGTTGAATATAAGAAAGCAACCAAGCAGCAAAGAGGGTTTGATTTACAAGCAGAAACAGAGTAGTGAACATGCTTTATAACCAATAATTTCTAAAAAGACTATCGACTTCTATGATGGCCATTGTGTGTGAGCGATACCTTTATCACCATCATTTGAGATCTTCCGTAGATCGATGAAGTGGGTTCCTATGGCAACGTCATTGACCTTATCAGAGTCTCTAATCTGTACCTTGATCCTTTTGCAAAGAGGAGGGAATAGCTCTGTGAAGATGACCTGCTCATTCCAGATTGGTTCGTAGCTGCTCTTCTGGACCGATGTCTTTCCCTGGAGAAATACAGTAACAGAATATTGATCAACTCACAGAATGGGAAAATACACACAGCTGGATTGCCATGGGAACAGCTACTACTCACTTAATTTAAATATATTTTATATATCATGTAAGAAAATGTATATATTTGTTTCTTTTCCATCATAAATTACTTTGCACTATTTCAAGAAACTACAAGTTCAACACAAAAACACTTGGCTGAGCTTAGTTCAGATTTAAAAAAATATAAAACATATTGAAATAAGATTAAAAGTATTTCCCTTAAATTATCCTAAAATGTAATTAAATCCTTTAACAATAAATCATGCTGAGGACACTGCTATAGTTTCTATAACAAATCCAAGCTTACATGCTTTGTTAAACCTGCAGTGTTTTCAAACAGCAAATGTTCCCTATGGAGTCATAACAGGCAAAGAAAGAAATAAAGAACTTAAGAAAGATAAAAAGAGAAAACCTTTTGCCCAGAAAACTGCACTTGAACATAGGGGTCAACAAGGTCTCTGTTTTCTCCAATGAAAGCCTTTTTCACATTCGCCATTATGCTGGTGTTCATTTTAGGAAGTCCCTCAGCCCGGTGGATCTTGACATAAAATCTTGCCCATTGCCTTTCTGCCGGGATGCCTTCTGGAAGGAGGAGATTTCTAAGGCACAAAGAGCAGAAAAACAGCAAACAGATCATAGAGGGTGATTGCATGTATTGTTGAAGAAGTTTCCACTCAGAAATTTGAATCTTATAAGCTCTGGGCGCTTGCAGATGCTTTGCAATTATTACAAAGAAACCCAGAGGGTAATCTATCATCCATAGTCCTTTGCTGCATCTGTTCAGTTTGTAATTGTGTTTAATGTACAGAGTATTAATTCCTAAGCAGGAAATAATCTTAGGATGCAGGTTCCTTTGGAAGGAAAATGATCCACGAACAGTACATCCTCATAACTGAAACATTTTGTAAGCAGCTGACTAGAAGAAAACAGAAGTTTAGATCTTATGATTAATGAGATTTTAGGAGAAAACAAGCAACAATTCACCCCTCTATGTCGTCTTCATCGGTCTCATTGGCTTTATGTGGGGTCTTGATGTTATCCCCTTTCCCAACAACGGCAATGTCACATTTAACATATCCTTTGGACCCTGCTGTGATGTCATCAGGGTCAGACAGGATGGCCCATTTGTGGTAGAATTGGTGTTCTGTGACATTTTAATAGATCAGTTTTTAAACAAATAGGCAAAATATCTACTTAAAAGCAGCTTATTCTTCTTCCCAAAAAAATCATAGGAAAATATATTTTTTTTCCGGAGTTATGTATAAAAGAAACTTTACCAGGCTGAAAGTAAACAGTCCCAACATCCATCTTAAATGTTCCCACCAATGTTCCACTTCTTAAAAGGTTTTTAGAATGAATGACCTAAATAGATAGAAAGGAAAATTAACTATAAAAACAAATAAATAACTGGTTTTCACAAATGCATACACTTGTAATTGCATAGAAAACAAATAACCATTTCCTTATTTTCTAAATGTGAAAGATGTTTTTCAATCTATTAGTTATCAGCAAAAAAAAAAGTATATGTTCAGCAGTTTTACAGCAAGTGTGTAAGAAAAATATGAGATTATCTTGTTACTTCGACGAACTAACAAACTATTAGGTGCTGTTATTTCCAAACTAAGCTAGGCTGCTAAGAAGAGCTTCAGGTCCAAATTTCTTGCCAGATGGACCAAAAAAAAAACAAAAAAAAAAAACTTGGAGATAAAGACAAATGACAGTGAAACCCAATGCAGATGTGGTGATACCCATGGCAGTGATGTTGCTGTTGAATTCCCCCCAAAATTACATTAGAGCCAATCATTGTTTTATACAAAGGTAAACTCTGGTGACATCAGGATGACCCCCCTCTTGTGTGATGGAGGTCACTTCATTTTTGAAATATGCATAAAGTACCCAAAGCATTTGCTTTGATTGTATGAATTACTAACCGAGAGCTTGATGATCTTGTCAAACATGACATCAGGAGGGACGTGGAAATCAAACACAAAATACTGTAGAGAGTAGAAAAACAAGGATTGCCTTTAAATTGCAATGCATTTACTCCTACCTTTAATATCAAGAGTGAAAAAAAACACTTTTGCACAACATTGCTCTGATTGAGATCAACGCGGCACTGTTATCCTAAGTAGGAGCAGGATTGAATACAGACAACAGATGACTGATAGTTCTGAAAGCAGATTGCTCACATATAGCTGTAGAATTCAAAGAGAGGATAAAAAAACAGATTTTTCTTTAAGGAACTGAGTGGATTATCGTGTCAGCTCGATAGGAAATGAGTTTGTCTGAAGTATGGGGATCAGTGTGTATTGAGTGGGCAGGTAAAACATTTTCTGAACTCAGCCTTAAAAAATATGCAGCAAAAAGAATAAATGTATGAGGTCTTATTCAAAGTGAGACATAAGAAATCTGATGCATCCATGTTTCAGTTTGCATATTTTTTTTTATTGTCAGAAGATTATAAAGGTTTAGAGATTCCTAAGAATTGATATAGCTCATCTTAAAATTGCAGGTGCTAAAGTAAAGTTTTTTTTCCTGTAAACTACAGTTAGATGTATTTTAGTGAAATAATAAAAGTAAAAGTAATCTGTTTATCCAGAATCATTTAAATCCCAACATTAACATTAAAGATACCTGAAAATATGTAACAGTATTTACTTTTAAAAACAAAATAGTTTGGTACACTCAAGGAATGCTGAGGATTATATGCTGTAGTAATAGCAAACAATCTCACATAGTTATTGTTAACGAAAGATGCAAAAAACAAAAAAAACAAAAACAAAAAAAAATGTCTAGAATAAGCAGCAGTCAAAGGATCCTGTTAGTGACTACAGAAACTATGAGATGCCAGCATGTCAACTTCTTTGGCTTTAGGTTTTCTCTCAGCAGGGGATTTTCGGTCAGAACCAAAGAATCAATAACAGACAAACAGTCACTTTCATTCCCTGCAGGGAACAACAAAGAGTCTGAGCTCTGGAACATCTTTCTCTACAATGACTAATCCGTCCCAGATCCAAGGGAGATTCTCCTGCATCACAGGGGTTTAACTACTCTGCAGCCTAATCAATATGGTGTCTTTATCTTGCATACAATCTCACCCCAAAAGTTAAACTAGTTCTTTTCACCTCAGATTTAGCATAGATAAAGTCAGAAGGTTTTTATGGACATTAGAGGATGACTAAACATATAACAATAAATAGGAGCACAAAGAAGTTCTTACCTCATTAAAGTATGGGCAGTTGGTTGACTCCTTCATGGATGTATATTTCTTGTCATCTCCAACCTCCACACACACCACAGGGTCCATGTTTAGACCTATTAGCTGTCGAGCTTCGATCACTGTGATGCTGATCTGATGGGTAAGATTCAGTTATCAGATCTGACATCCGAAATAACATTGCTTTCGTTAACAGTCTGAGTATTTCAGTCAATTGTATTATATTTTTACAATTGAGTAATCAGTCCTGCGATAATGAGGTCCTAACTGTGTATTCGATTGGCTCCACTAAAGCTGTTTATAATTCAGGCCAGTGTTAGATTTAATTATAGATAAAAAATCGTAGTATCTAATTGTCAGTGATTTGCTCAAACAGTATCTTATGCAAAATGTTAAGAATGCAAAAATGTAAACTTCCCTTTGAGCCCTACTCAAAAAAATGCCAGTTTAACTAGGATTATCCTTTCCTTAGAATCTACCTAAAATCATAGCATAACCTAAACCCCTTTTTGATAAAGTTGTGAAATGAAAAAAGAGAAAAATCCAGACTCAATCAATGACAATAACCAACAGAAATCAAATCATGCATACAAACATACCTGGTAATCAACTGGTCGTCCAGCGCTTGGTTCCATCTTGATATCTGGCTTTGATCTGAAAAAACAAACAACGAACAAAAAAACAAACCAAAAAAAAAACTAAGACATTTTTTAAATTTTAATGTATAATCTTTTCCAGTTTTCTTTTGGTGGATGTTGGGATTCAGGCCCATTTGCCTGCTTGTTCTCACACTTAGGGCCGGATCTATCAAAGGTTTGCGTGTATAAAAACGTGAGCTATTTCATTGCGCACGCTAAAAAATTTACAAACTGATTTATCAACAGCGTGCTAAAAGGATTTGGTCTTTAAAACGTGCTAAATAGCGCCTCTTATCCATTTAGTACTTTTTCTGCAATGAATATGCAATATGGGGCGTTTACACGCAAAAGTGCGTCTTGTGGGAGGAGAACATGTAAATATATTAATTTAGCACTCGCAAAGTGATTTATTAAACCTGAAAGCAATTTTGCTAACGGTATCTGACTCTATATTTAACACGTTTCAAAAGAAGGTTCAAATGGTCTGTATGCGTAATTGCGCACACATGGCAGCGGTTATTGTCGCAAGAAGGAGACATGGAAATGAAGCAAGGAGACGCAGAGAAGGCATTTTTTCACTCTGTGTGAATATTTTTGGAATGAACGAGGAAACGATCATCAAAACATATGATTTATCCAGCATTGCCATTTTGGAGCTGTTGGGGGAACTCCGAATGGATTTGGAGCCAGCCACAAGGAGGACCCATGCAATACCAGATATCACAAAACTCCTTGCAACATTGCACTTTTTTGCATCTGGGATCTCCCAATCTCGTTTTTCAGAAGTGCGCGCAGTCATCTTATCCACAGTCACTTCTTGTGAGCCATTTGGTATGTGCATTTTTCTACAGGCCAATACAAAACACCTGTTTTTTTTTTTTTTTTTACTGCAGTGAAGTAGAAATTCAGCCACATACCACCTTAGGGAATAAAGGTTGCCAAAGTTTATATATATATATATATATATATATATATATATATATATATATATATATTAGAGATGTCCCGATCCAGGTTTTTGTACTTCCGATCCGATCCCGATACTGGCCGATACCAGCCTATCCGAGCATGTATTTGAGTTTAAGTTAAAGTATTTAGCCTTAGTTGTAAGACTCATGTTGAAAAGGGTTTTAGTACTCTTGATAACATCTAGCCAGCTAAATTAGGTGAGATTGAATAAAACACAATGCTTGGTAACAACAAACTTACCTGTTTATTAAGAGATAAACACAAACTGGACAAAATTATGAATAGCAATCTGAAATTGCACAGTGAACAGTAAAACCGTAAACAGTTAAAGGTGCAAGTATTACTGTAAGTTTTAATAAAAATGCAAAACAGGGGAACACTGGCGCAAAATGGTGGAATGGATCGTTTCAATCGGCGAAACTGGAAAATATGGACCGGATTTTTTTTTTTAAACTGGATCGGCAGTCTGGATCGGCATTTAACATGCTTTGCCGACACGCATTTTTTTGCCAATATCGGCGTCCCGATCCGATCCACGTATCGGATCGGGACAAGCCTAATATATATATCCATCCATCCATCCATTTTCTTTACACGCTTGTCCCAAGTGGGGTCGCGAGGGGTGCTGGTGCCTATCTCCAGCAGTCAATGGGCGAAAGGCGGGGTACACCCTGGACAGGTATATATATATATATATATATATATATATATATATATTTTTTTTTTTTTTTTTTCTTTGGGATTGGGTGGGGGTGTCACTGTAAGATTAAAATTTCTTAATGCACTAGTTTGCAAAAACTACAAACTACTTTGCTGCAAACCACAAAACGCGCAAAACCATCATTTAAATAGGGCGTCTCCAACAATTTTGCACCTGCCACCAGTTACGCAATCGCTCTTGTTAAATCACCCGCAAACCATGGTTCAGCCCCTCGCGCAAAATTCCAGTTTGCGAGCGCAAATTACTGCACGCAAAATTGGATCTTGATAAATCCGGCCCTTAGCCTTCTCTACATTATTTATGTACTGTGTAATCAGTGTAATTTCATTAGCCAGAAATTAGAAGAAGTTAACCATATAATCTGTAAAACTCCCTGCATAATTATAATAAAGCAATTTATATGCATGAAACAAGCGGAACACTATGGCAATAGCCTTACTGCTCCACTTGTGAAAGCAAAATCTGTTGGGCTCTTTTTGGCATCAAGGCAGCTATTCTTATTGTCACATTGCCAGACAGGAAACTGAATACAGACACCTTTACTTCAAGCAACAAAAAAACACATGCAAAAACAGCCAATGACACAGTTTGTTTTATGTTCTTAGTCTTCAGAGGAACGTCTGTTGAAGCAATTCACAAGAACAAAGCTGCCATTCCTGCCTTTCAAGTTATCCACTGGAAAGCATTCTCTTTGTTTTTCTCTTTTCAATAAAACAGCTTCAAATGAATCCATGTTAATGGATTCTTCTTCCATGTTCGTTTATCCGAGTATATATGCTGGACCTGTTCAAACCTTTTATTGGAAACATTGGCTGTGACGGCAGTCACAGATGCCAAAGATATGGTGTCCGGCTCTAGCATTCCAGCAAGACGCATGGCTTTCTTATCCAGATCTTCCATTTCCAGGATTGCTGGTTCATCTGCTATGCCATATAAAACAATAAGTAATGTCAAAAACAGTTTCACATTCTACAGATTTTTAAATGAACATTGACTGCTAATAAAATGTGTTGGTAGAGATGATGCTTTACCTGCTCTCCTATGGTCATCTTTTGAGCTTTTTGTCTTTCCAAGTTTCATGGCTGAGAAAACTCCTCTCCCTGCTCTGTTAAAAGAAATCAAAGAGAACAGCAGATCTGTCCTCAGATAAACCTACTTTATGCCATGTTCAATTGGTTGGAACCTCTAAAGAAAAATATAAAAAAAATGTATAAGAACATTTCAAAGTACCTACTACATATTTTTTTACATCCTTGAAAGTTGGTCAGGTTTCAATAAACCAGAAGATAAAACAAATACTGCAAACCCTCAATCACAAAACAAGAGTATCCAGTTTCCTCACATTGATATTATCAGGATCATATATCACTGCAGCAACAAAGCGCTTGTGATGTCATTGGGAGGGCGACAAATGAGGGGCTTTAATAATTAAAAATATTGGTGACCATCCAGTTTGCTTCGGATATAGATACATGTCAGGAAATAATGAAATGTTTTGTTTCCCTTTGGCCCTCTGAGTCCAATGTGTCAGCGTGCAGCTTCAACATCAGACTATGAGGAAACTCTCAAAGTATTACATGCTGTTTTATGGACTTTTACATAAAGCTAAGTTGTAGTAAAATTTTATTGAGTAGATTCAACAAAAAACATTTACACATGTTTCGTGAGTGAATAAAACACTACACACACACACACACACACACACACACACACACACACACACACACACACACACACACACACACACACACACACACACATATATATATATATATATATATATATATAAATCTGTATAGTAACAGTTTGTTTGTTTGCTACTTTAAATCTGGCCTAATTCAATTGGACAGCTGCAAAGAAAAACACTAATTTAAAATGTACCCACAAAAGCTCCCAATCAATCAGCTTAAACAGAAAATAACAAAAGCAGAAAAAAATAGCTTGATATGATCCATTACTGCAACTTTAGAAAACTTGTTGCAGATACTTAAATGTGTTAGTTGCTCTCAATATACATTCAAAGTGTAATATTCCCTTTAAGTCACAAATTAAAACAGTCATTACATGAAAAGTATGAATTAATATTAAGAATTTAAGTTTTCCAACCCAATTCTTTGTTTCTGTTAAGATAAATACAAGAAAAAAATAGGCAAACACTGGTTCTCATACATACCACATCAAAGACACCAAATATCCCATTCAACTCCTCAAATAAGTCAGATTAAGTAAATCCAACCTCAGGTTCACCTTGGACCCTGTTTCTATAAAAGGCAGTACAAACTAAAAAGACTGGTGCAATAGTTAGAGACCAGGTGGAGAGATGCAGTTACAGTTGCAGACATCTGTGAATGCAGCAGGACAGAGAGAAGGGGGGAGGTGAGAGAAAGATGGTGGGAGGTACAAGGAGATCATGGGAGATTGAATTTACCTTAAAAAACACTAAGAAAATCAAATAAGCAGCAGAATTTGTGACACACATACAGTCTTTGTTTAGTACATAACTATATTTACGGCAGTTTTCAACTACTGAAGTCATTACAGGGCAAACTGCTCATGCTCTATTCTAATTTGGTTCTACAAAGTACTTAACAATGCATTTATTTATTTGTACTATCCTTTCTATGAGTGATTTGACTCACACATCAAGGAGCACCTTAAAGACTGCATGTGGTTTAGTGTCGTGACTAAAAAAAAGAGGATCAAATTTCCCACCTTCCAGTCTGGGGGTGACTGCCTTTCTGAAAAATGCTTAAAAGAAAATCACCCATTTAGGAGAAACAAATAAATGTTGTACCAATGAGACAGAACTGTCTGCAGTAACGCTAATTCCATTTCACAAGATCAGCAGAATAATTGAATAATTAATGTATCAAATAAATAACATTTATGAAATTATTAAATACTTATTTAATTATCCAAGTTTTCAATCTCTTCTTACTGATCATTATTTTTCCATAACTCTGATCTCCTGAAAATACAGATGTCTTCATACATTGGCATAAAAATGTGAACATATTTGTTTCCTAATATTATTGTTTGCATTAAAGTTTTTAGATTTATTTGGTCAACACAAAGCTACCGAAAGTATGTTTGTGAAGAGGAAGAAAAAATATACAATTACAAAAACATGTACAGTATATCTTTTTTGTTTTTGTTTTGTGACACACAGTTAAATTAAGCACCACAAAGTCAACACTTTGTGGAGTTGCCTGTCACAGTAACTACAGTTGCAAGTCCTTCAGGCGTTTATGAGCTTTCTTTTAGAATAGTCTGTTCATCTGTATTTCACCCTCTTTATTTATCTATCAGCTCTAACCAGCTTCAGAAGAAAACCATCCCCTCCATATGATGCTGCGATCGCAATGCTATGCTTTGCTTTAATTAAAATATGTATATATACACAAAATGGTTCATTATTAGGTATTTTGGAGTGTGCAACTTGTCTCCCAGTTGAGAAATGGATTCTTGAAGCTTATCCAAAAAAACATCCAATAACAATTTTATTTCAGGGCACCTTTCAAGAAACACAAGGCCACTGTACAAGGAGAAAAATAAAATGCAAACAAAACCAAGCCAACTTAAAACAAGCAATAAAACTATACATTAAAATAAAAAAATAACATAAAGTAAATTCTATTTTGTATATGGAATTCCAAAGAGATGCAACTTAAATTAAGCTAAAAGCAGAAAGTGGTTGAGAGACAGATGATGAAGATCAGGAGGAAGTGAATTCCAGAGATGGGGAGCAGAGCAACTGAAGACCCTGCTCCCCGTAATACTGAGACCGGAGTGATGGTGACATGAAGGAGAGCAGAAAGATAAGAGGGAATGAGGTTGATTCGATGTGAAGCAGAACATTTAACTGAATGCGATAGTGGCCCAAAAGGGAAAAAAAACATGAATAATTTTCCTTTAAATCCACAGATATATACTTCTTTTAAAAAAAGGAGCCTGTTTTCAGTTGAGACATAAAATGTGGAAATTTTGAAGTGATATGAACACTTGATGTATGCAAGACATAACGATTATTTTGGAAAATCCCTGCCACCCCGCTGGATCAGAGTACCGCATAAAGGTTTTGACCTGGTGACAGCAGATATAGTTGTTTAATAGAAAACCTAGGAGTAGCTTTTTCTGTCATTGAAAAGTTTTGATTTTCCCAAATCTGCTTGCTTTTAAGCAGAATTTAAGACTTAAACATCGTTGTGCATTAAAGTGTCAAACTATAAACAATACAATTTAATTTAGCCAGTTCTGTATTAACTGCCCTTGATTCCCAGTCTTATATACAAAATCAAGAATTAGGGGCTTTGTAGTTCAGTCAATTTTCATTGATCCATGTAGCATGTCCAGTGCATGTAGAGCTGCTCTCATTAATCGCTTTATTAAACTATAAGGTCATAGTTTTAATTATATGATACACACAAACAATGTGGTTTTAAAGAGATTCTCAGTAAATAAGTAAAAACTGTAAAATTTGAAGATGAGTGATTTTTTTTTCTAACTACATTCTTCTGAGCTTCTGAGTTTTGTTTGCCTTGCTAAAAAATATATATTATGGGAGGAAAAGTAAAGCTGGACTACCAAATTTTCAATGCTGACCTTTTCAGAGAAAGGCTGTGCATCGGAGCAAATAAAAGCACCAGAGTTCAACAGCACAGAAGAGAGATTCTAAGTAAAAAAATACACTATACTATAGCTCTCATTTTTAGTAGTGCAAAGTCAAAAAATTGTAAATTCAGGAAAAAACATCAAAGACAGAGATATTCTGCAGGAGACTGTATGCGTGAAAAACAGATAAAAAGAAAACCTTCAAAATTGTTTGCCCTTTTATTAGCAAAAATCATCCATCAACATTAAACAAGTGATGATAGAAGGGTTTGGAAGGCTGACATGTGGTGCAAAGGTAAATAAGAAAGGAAAAACAAAACCTTGTTTACTTATCAAACACCTTTTAGTTATGAATTCAATTTTAGGGCTTTGTCACATGTTGACAGGAAATTTTGTTACAGTATAGGAGCCAATCGAGTGCTCACTTTTTTCTTTTTTATCTTGGCTTCGGTTTGAAATCAGACTTCCACCACACTGTTCTTGGAGCAAATGCAGTAACACTTTTAAATATGTCTCTTTCTTGCTCATCAAATATGATTTTTCCACTCCCCAAAATACATAACACAACTTCCCGATCTTGTTTAATCTCATGATGCTGAGTTCTCTTCAGCAACAATCTTTCTAAGGCCTAAAGAATTATAACAAGGTTATATACATGTAATATTTGTCACACACTAAATTTATGTATGTACTAAATTTCTGTATGTATGGTTCACATAGGAGTCTGCAAAGTGTAACTTTTGCAGACTCTTGGTTTTAAAGTTGAATTAAAAGCACTCTATTCCTTCCTAAAGACTTTTTATAATATAATAACACCACTTTGTCAAAATGAGACAGTGTACCAGTAGCCATGCACATTAAGGTTTACTTGAGGTATTTCAATGTCAGAAATCATAAAACAAACATATGTGTTGGTCTTTATTTTCCTTGTATTGATATCTAATGAATCAATTCATTGCATATTCACCACTGGAGATATGTAGCTGCCCCTCTGAGAAGAATAAATGACTCATAGAAAACAACTTGATGGATAAATGGGTGTTGTGTTGCAACAGCACAGAGCAACAGAGGTAAAATAAAATGTCAAGCATCACTTCTTTATTCCTTCAAAAACAAAGTTTCAGAGGTATAGATGCTAGAAATGTGCCTTGATATTTTCTTCCATCTTGTCCTAATAAGGACTTGATTTTACTCAAACATAATAGAGTTGCATGACCTGATTCCCACATTTATATGTTTTTATGGTGTGAGAGGAACCACCTGTGTCTTAACACCAGTAAGACCAAAGAAATGGTGATCGACTTCAGGAGAAGACCCCCACCTTACTACCCAGTGAATATGTCCAGGGGTGGGACAAAGAAACTGGAGAGTTTCAAATACCTGGGTGTTCATGTCAATAATAAACCGGACTGGACTCATAACAGTGACGGCCTGTATAATAAGGGCCAGAGCCGCCTCCACCTCTTGAGGAGGCTGAGCCTGCTTAAAACCTTC